ATCTGTGCTCACAACGTGCTATGTATGTCTATACAATAAAGTAAGTCAATCGAATGTTCCATACTTACCACTTCCTAGCTTTTTTGCGATGTAATCACGCCCACTATGGCTCCTCTCATCCTCAAGCTTGGGTAAAAACTAAATTCTTCCTCGTGGAATCAATAGAATCTATCATATCAAATTGCTCGAGTGGTATGTAATTGTGTAATTCCCGTCAGCGAGTATCTACAATCTTCTAACATCAATCCCAATCCTGCCATCTGTACTCCTTTCAAATTTGAATGCTCTAGATTCAGGTGGACAAGAGTTATGAACTTCTGGTCGGACAGACACAAACACCCAACAGACACTCTCAGCGAATTACGTAAGTATGATAAGTCGAAACCCTTTCTCCATAAGATCTCATTAAGTTGGACACGACTATAGGAAAACCTTCAATACCGCTATTCTTGTCGTCTGCGTCTCACAACAGTTCGTAGCAGTCAGGGATTTCATTCAAGAGGCATGGTCCCGCCAGGTTGTTGTCTCAAGGACTCATGTCATTGTGTGGTCGTTCAAGGTAAGTGGCTGGTGACAAGGCGTCCCCCAATTCATCTCAAACCGCCTCATCCAATTGCCTCCTTATTCGTCCTTCATCTATTATTCCTTCATGGGTTTTGTGTACCGTTTTCACTGTAAAGTGGCCGCTCTTTTCCCGAAATTTAGGGAATTTGAAGGAAGGCAACGAACGTTATAAAATCCTGTGCAAGGTATGGCGTTTTCCAATATCTCCTCTTAACCTCCGCTTAAAACGCGACCAATAAGCAGATTGAAGCGAAATTCGTTTACTAAACGGTAGCCCGAATAAGCTCATGCACATGGTGTTCATTCGGAAGAGACGTCCACCAGACTTAACGCTGGAGCTCCCCCACCCCCACTCATAGGTTATAAATAGAAAACGTGATTCAAAACGATTATGTCACACATCGTCCAAGAACAAAATCAAAATAATGGTGAACCACAAAATAACTGAAATTGAGCTCCCTAATCTCTAAACCCAGTTGAACAGACGGTGGAGGTTCTTTAACGTACCTTCCAGACTTTCAGGCATCACTGCCTTGTCTTCACCGATGATGTTCTCTCCCATTTCCTCCAAGTTTAAAGGTTCTTCCTCTCCTTCGCATCTCGCAGAAGAGAGTAAAGATGTTCTGGAGCTGATGACTTTTGGGTCATCCTTTCGAAATCACTCTGGTGGACAAAGAGGCCCTCAACCATGGGCTTTCAAGGGTGCAGTACTGCCATCTCAAACAACAGAGGATTTACTACGCAATGTATTAGTGCCCGTGGGACGTTCCTTGAATGGGACACATGGGGGATGCGAAACCCAATGCTAACTAATGCACTCAAAGCGTGGACGGTTTCAGTCCTCTCATGTCTATCCCAGCTACTTTGGGTACCTCTTTCCCCTGCTTACTACATCCAGTGATTTCTTTCCTACAAGAGAATCCCCTCACTCAAACAAAGGAGCATGGGTTTGTTGACAATTGTGTGCACACGTCAATTCCCTATTGTTCGACACTCTTGACCCGTCACTCAGACTCCTCTCCTTCCCTGGGCTCTCGTCTATACTCTCAGCAGGGTTCTCGTCTGCTACCGCCTCTTTCACGCAGATAGCTGTCAAGAGATATGGGAAATCCTAAGGATTGGTCCAGTGGCTAAATAGACCTCCTGATCTACGAAGTATAAGTGGGGAAGCCTGCTGTGAAAAGTACAGAAACATTGACTCCCATAATATTTATCTGGGAGATTGGAAAGATGGGCAAAAGGATTCGAAGGATCAGAACCGATCTTAGACCCTTCCTATTTTCGAGATCTGCTACAGTGGATAATTGTGAATCTCGAATAAGCTCCTCATAATATAAAATCAGAGTGATGGCACTATTTACCTCTCCAATCGTAGGTAGGAAGCAACTGCCATGTGCTCCATTTTTGCTCGATCTCTGACCGCTCGTCTTGCTCACTATGGTAACAACTAATACATTAGCGAACAGCACAAGTGTTGTTTCAACGGCATCCAGAACTTTGGATTTCTACACGACTCGGCTCAACAGGATTGAATCGTCTACAGAATAACCTAGCCCACTGGTTCCCAGAAACCACGCCGAGACGCTGAGAGATGAACCAAACCGTATCGTCCAAAACTATGCTTTGTTTTGACCTAGAAAATGGCTCGTGCCGGGACGTCTGCCACCCTATGGACGTTGAATCTCTGCCTTAATTGTTTTGAGGACGTGTTCCATACTACTAACTCAATTGTGCTGAGTCGTCCGTTCAATTGCTTGTCCCTATTTGCATTCCCCATCCATAATCACTCTGATCGCCCCGCCCTTCTGGTCCAATGCTACTGCATGCCATACCCAACAGCTGGAAAATGTAGTCCCACAATAGAATTCTTTTTGCTACTTTATGAGAAACAACTTTTACTAAATAGAAGTGATGAGATCATTCTGAGAATCAATTTCCTACCCATTGTTGTTTTCTGGATACTGTTCCTCACCTGAGTGTATTCAATCAACTGGATATGAGCGCCTTCTTTCTCATTTCCACTTTTATAATTTTTCGGTCCCGTTTTATTAATCGTCAGGTGATATAGTATTTAAAAGGTAATGATGTGCTGGGCTTTCTCGAGCAACAGCCTGAATAGCTGGCCGATGTATGTACATCACGAGCCACTCGCTCTCCTACCAAGTTGTAGACATTTGAATTGAGTGTGGGAGATGCTCTATACAAACATTTCAAGTAGATTTTTCGTCCTATACGGTGGTCGGTATTATAAGGAAGTTGTCGGGGATTGTCACTGTCATATAATTGTCTGGTACCGTCAATAAAAGGCGGTCATGTTAAAGGGCTAAGAGAACAACTCTACCGACGGGACTGAAAAGAAAGGTTCCAATTCGCGCATACTCGTACATCTACTTCGTGACTCGTCTTCCGACCATACTCTTCTATCATTCGATTTGTAACTGATAATGTGGAGGATAAAGTCACTAACATTAATCAATCCCGTGTTTGGGATGC